GAGCGCAACAATATGATTGCCATCAGATACATGTAAGTAGATACAACAGTATACAGAACAGATCGCTACCACAGAATTACGAAGTTCTATTTGTGAAGCCTGCTAACAAAATGAGTTACTTCTCGCAATCCATGAATGGAGATATCAGCCAAAAATCAACACAAGGGTCATATTTGTAGACTCTAAACCAATGCCATTCTCTTCAAGTTTAACATGTCTTTTATCATTTCATACTGATAAATTGTAAAACTTCAGCCTATACATTTGATGCTTCTATTTCCATCGGTCTAAAATCTGAGAAGTAACTCATTTTGTCAGCACACTTCACATTTCACATTTTTGGCAGTTTGGAGTTACTAAGACCGTGAGTTCAGAAACAAAATGCTCTACCTGCTCTATCAAAATCGTAAGATTATTTAGAGCTGCTATAAAGATATTCAAAGAATTGCATTAGAAAAGTCATGACATATTGTGAAACTCAAATATTTTTACTGCCAAATTTCTCCAAACTAGGTACTGAGCAGATAGAACTTTGTAATCCTTGAGTAGTAAAATGACATACTATATAGTAATACGTAATACGCCATCATGTAGCAAGCTTGAAAAATGTACTAGGCCCAGAAAGCAATATCTTTTTAAAAAATCTCGTTAAAAAATAAATAATTCATTCTTTAAACAACTGCGTCTAAATTACGTATAATTTCTTGCCTTTTTCAACATTCAGAATTCAAATTTACAAGAAATATTTTTGGAGCACAAGCAACCCAATATCACCGACTAAGAAACTTTAATAATTTTTTAAAAAATCAAAATTTCGGACTGAGTACATTTTAAAAGCTGGCTGACGATATTCACCCTGAAAATCCCAAACAAACAAACAAACAAACAAACAAAAAGGCAAACAAACAGCGTGCTGTAATATATAGACTGTTGTCTGAGGATGAGCAATTAAACGCCGCCACTGGAAAATGGAAGGCAGTTGAAAGATAAACAAAACAAAACCGTAAGAATATCTTAAGCTTACAAGGCACTTTGGACACCTTACTAAAAAGCGTCGGTCAAAACAAACAGTAAAAAGTGGAAGCTTCACAAACCGGACACTTCAACATGGAGATTTAGATTTAGGAGGCGGGCCTTGACCCTGACTGTCAAAGTCAGCTCGGGATGAGATGGATGCAACGTCCCAGCAAACAGAACGAGATACTGAATACAAAATGTTTCCCCACATGGGAATCAAACTCGGGTCTTCTGTGTGTAACAGGATAGCACCTAACTTCTAGCACCACAGGCACCAGTGTAATGACAGAAAAATACCTCCATCAGCAGTCCTAGGTGAAAACTAAAAACAAAATGATACGCAACAACACAAGATTGTAAGGCCCATAGAGCTTGCTGCTGAACTGGAATTTGCACTATAAAAATGCTATCTATCTATCTATTATTATTATTATTATTATTATTATTATTATTATATATCATTCTTAGTATTATTGTCACTATAACAGCGTGATGAAAGAACAATGCCTACACAAGGTATTTCAGCGAGAAAAAACTAAAAACAAAATGATATGTGATAACAAAAGATTGTAAAGCCCACAGAGCTTGCTATTGAGCAGGAATTTGCACTAAACAAATGCGATCTATAATTATTACTATTATTATTATTATTACTATTATTATTATTATTATTATCATTATTATCTATCATTTTTAGTATTATTATCACAACAATGGTATGATGGAAGAATAAAGCCTACATCAGTATTCCTAGGTAAAAACTAAAAATAAAATTAAACGTGATAACATTAGATTGTAAAGCGCGTATAGCATGCTAGTGAGCAGGAATTTGCACTATAAAAATGCTATCTATCCGTCTATTATTATTATTATAATTGTTATTATTATTATATATTATTCTTAGTATTATTATCACTACAATAGCAAGATGGAAGAACAAAGCCTACATCAGTATTCCTAGGAAAAAGCTAAAAACAAAATGAATTGTGATAACACTAAATAGGAAAGCGCATAAAGCTTGCTATTGAGCGGGAATTTGCACTCTTCAAACGCTATTTGTCTTTTATTATTATTAATAACATTATTATTATCATAATCATTATTTATTATTTTTAGTATCTTATCACTACAATAGCATGATGAAAGAACAATGCCTACATTAGGTATTTCAGCGAAAAAACTAAAAACAAAATGATACACGATAATGTTAGATTGTAGAGCGCATAGAGCTTGCTGCTGAGCTGGAATTTGCACTATAAAAATGCTATCTATCTATCTATCTATCTATCTATCTATCTATCTATCTATCTATCTATCTATCTATCTATCTATCTATCTATCTATCTATTTATTATTATTATTATTTGCGCCATCACTATAATAGCAAGATGGAAGAAACAAAGCCTACATCAGTATTCTTAGGAAAAAAATAAAAACAAAATGATACGCGACAACACAAGACTGTAAGGCCCATAGAGCTTGCTGCTGAGCTGGAATTTGCACTATAAAAATGCTATCTATCTATCTATCTATCTATCTATTATTATTATTATTATTTTCGTCCTCACTATAACAGCGTGATGAAAGAACAATGCCTACACAAGGTATATCAGGGAAAAAACTAAAAACAAAATGATATGTGATAACATTAGATTGTAAAGCACATAGAGCTTGTTGTTGATCGGAAATTTGCACTCTACAAATACTATTTATTACTGATTGGTCATTACCATTATAATAAAACCATAATTATTCACCCATTCAAAGTAATATATGTATGCATGCATCCCTAGAGTGAAACAAAAAGCATAGATAAATTAATTTTTTTTAAACAAAGAAATAAAATGAAACACATATTAGATTCATGGCAATTTCTCTTTGGCTGTGTTAATAATATGTTGAGAAAGAGGGTGGGAGCAGGGAGGAGGGAGTAATGAGGGGATAAGGGGGAAGGAGGATGGAGGGATGGCATGAGCAATTTTTAATTTTTTTTTAAATGTATATGTGAAGCGTGCTAACAAAATGAGTTACTTCTCGCAATCCATGAATGGAGATATCAGCCAAAAATCAACACAAGGGTCATATTTGTAGACTCTAAACCAATGCCATTCTCTTCAAGTTTAACATGTCTTTTATCATTCCATCCTGATAAATTGTAAAACGTCAACCTATACATTTGATGTTTCTCTATTTCCATCGGTCTAAAATCTGAGAAGTAACCCATTTTGTCAGCACACTTCATATATAAAAAGACAAAAAACATGCGCAGTGAACAATTAAAAAAACAAAAACTTGAGCAAATACTCCTGGGTCACCTGTGTAGAGTTGGGTCGGGCTCGCTAAATCAGCGTCCGCGAGTAACGAACTACTCGCTGGCACTACCCGCAAACGAGCGGACGGGTAACGAACTCCGCTTGTGAAGAGTAGTTCGCTACTCGCTACTCACTACACATCGGACAGAGACAACAGTTCGTTTAGTGAGCAGGCCGACGGGCGGACGGAGAGACTCCACGCATTCGAGCGGGCGGACGGACAGACGGGAAGCGAGTCCTTCTATTGCATACTACTTACACCCCCCCCCCGAAAAAATCACCCTCCTGCCCCACATTGTAACTAGGCATTCATGACGGAAATTTCTCTTTCCCCCTTCCCCCCCCCCCCCCCCCCAAAAAGGCCTTTCGGAATTCTTTAAGCTTCGACTTCCCGATAATTGGAATGTAAACAGTGTGCCCACACACAAGGTGAAAGGTTACACACATAGTACTACGTCACCAGCCTCTCTCACTCCCTGCGGCACCGCTAGTGGTTTGAAACATTAGGCCTAATTAACAAACAATAGACGATGGGTCTAATCTCGCGTCGAGAATCTCGTCCACTAGAATTAGTTCATTCGCCCACCCACTCAGTGAATAAAATTGTGGAGCGGACCTAAGAAACGAACTGTCTTGAGGTTCCCAGTTCGCTCTCATGGCCATCCGTTACCCGCTCGTTCAGACTGAGTCCGCAAGTAATGAACCCGTCCGTCCGCTCGCCCCAACTCTACTCCTGTGTTGCCGAAACAAAGGGAGAACCTGTAGCCTCCCATTCGATTAACTCTTTAACCATGCAATTTAAAATCACGCTTCCGCGTAATTCTCTCGTGTTTGGGAAAATGCGACCCTACATATTACGATTTTAAAACCGCTTGTTTCGAGTCAAACTGATCAATAAAGCTTTACCAAGACATAGAATTCATTTATCTTTGACTTCCGGGTCAAACTAAAGGCTTGTTAGCTCGTACTTTTTTATATTCGGCCCGTACCGTAATAATACAATAATAACTTTGCACCGGACGGTGGTACTGTCCAGGCATGGTTAAAGAGTAATTTTTAAAAAACCCAAAGAAAAATCCACCAATTCATACATAATAGAATACAATACATCATCTAAATAAATAAATTACTTTTGAAATGTCAGCAGGATGTTGATGAAAACTAACAATCGCTCATAATGACTTGTATGGTACCAAATGGTATGGGTTCAAACCTTCTCACAACCAGCAGTAAACTTTTCTTGACCTTTAACATCTGCCGCAAAAAAAAAAAAGAACAAAAAAGAACAAAAACAAAAAAACATGGCAGACATATGAACAAAAATGCTCCAATTCAACAAAATACTTAAAAAAAATTACAGTGGCGTCCACTTAAACCGAAATCTGCGGGATCAAGGGATTGCCTTTCTTCACCCAGGTTTTCACCGAAGAGAGGTTACCAAAATAGACCAATTTTTCTTCCTCGTTCTCGATGACAGCAGCTAGACAAGTCAGTCCGATGTCGCGCACAAACTGTGCAGTCCACTTCAAATCTGAGAGACTGCCATAGACTAGAGCTTTCTCTCAAGGGGAGTCACATTCTGCCACGTCTGTGTACGAAGGGTGGCGTAGCGCGGGCAGCGCTGAAGGATATGGTTGGCATAGATCAAAAAAATCTGGGGTTTCTATTTTCTTTCGGGTTTACCGCTGTTTTTGCGGCTTAAGCAGACTCAACTGTACTCTCCGACATTCAAAGCATACAAAATGCAAACCTTTAAAAATTGCACTTTTCACACAACACTTTTTTTGCATTTTGGATTTCTGCACACAGGGAATGGGGATGGGGGGAGGGGGGAGGGGTAGAGAAATCTGGAATGAGCATTAGAAATACCTGAGAGGAGGATTTGCCGGTGGACAGTTCAGTTCAGGTCAAAGGTCATAATATGGAGGTCAACAGGATGAAAATGAAACATAACCATTGCTCTGAACACAAGCTAGTGACTTAGCACCACTATAAAATGGCAGCTTGCAGTGTACGCTTTCCAGGGAGTTGACATTGTTTCAGAATGTTATCAGGTCTGCTGGGGTAATAATAATACAGATTGTTTATCTATGTATTGTAAGTAGTGAGTTGAGCCAAAAGTTCTTAAGTGAGTAAGTAACACGAAATATTTGCTTGGAAGTTTCGTGGTAAAGAACAGCGTCAGATACTGACTTAGAAGTTTCACTATTTAGAACATTTTCTAATACTGGTGTGGAAATTTCCTTATTTAAAACATTCTCTGATATTGGAGTAGAAAATTTCGCCATTTAGAACCATCTCTGAAATTGGCATGAAGTTTCCTTATTTAAAACATTCTCTGATATTGGTTTGGAAGTTTCACTATTTAGAACATTCTCTGACATTGGCTTGGAAGTTTCACTATTTAGAGTTTGGAAGTTTCCTTTTTTAGAACATTCTCAGAAATTGGCAGGAAAGTTTAGCTAATTATCCCTATCTGTACGCGCTGGGGTCATTTTGTACCCCTGGGTTGTATTCTTCACATTTTAGAAGACCTCTAGTATGAAGATCTCTTTTAAACTTTGAGATTTCTCAAAAACTCATCCTGACAGACTGCTAGGCAAAGCGTGCGAATCGGATTAACGAGTAAATTTGCTCTTTGATAGTGGTAGCACAGAGTTCCCCACGTCGTAGGGATATGATAGTAAAACACGACGTAGGGACAGGGTTATAGACCATTCTTTGGAGAGCAATCTCAGTTTCATTTTCCACCGGTCAACCCCTAGCCCCGTCGGTCAGACAACAAATCGTTTGTAGTCGCAACAACGTCCATCACAGGCCTGGCCGCTTGACCGCTCCCGGGAGCATCTACACCATCTGAGGATGACAGTAGTAGCGGAGACCTCGGGCTAGGATGAACAACGAGTTCTGAGTGATTCGCCTCCCCCGAGGTGAGACTGAACGTGGCGAGAGGGATGACTTCGGGGACGCGGCGGTGGTGGTGACCCCCGCCGCCGCTCCCCCCTCTGGAAGAAGGTTCCGCCCGCAGCAGCTGCGACGTCTCCGAAGCATTGAAAATCTCGTCGTCTCCGTCGTCATCATCCCCGACAGCCATTCTCCAATCTGCTTCGACGTCCGTGGACGTTTCGGCGTTCCCCCCTACCAGCGGCGTCCGGTCCCCACCCGCATCTCCGTTTCTGTGCGAGTTGGACGTGTCGACGGACTGCAACGCGCGCTGGGTCAGCCCCATCTTCTTGGCATGCTCCTTCTTCTCCTCGTTGTAACACAGCAGGTACTCAATGGTCTCGTAGACTCCGATCACCAGGCAGAAACTTCCCAGCAGGATCAATATCTGAAATGATATGCGCAGCAGGAATATTTAATAATAACAATAATGAAGATAATAATAATAATTAATAACGATGATAATGACGATGATGATACTAATAATAATAATAAGCCTAATAATAAAAATAGCAATAATAATAATAAAAACAACAACAACAAAAACAACAATAATAATAATAGTAATAATAATAATAATAATGAAGATGATGATAATGATGGTGATGATAATAATGATAAAGATAATAACAACAATGACAACGACAACAACAACAACAATAATAATAATAATAATAATAGTAGCAATAATGATAATAATATATTGAGAGAGTAGGCTTCGGCTGCCACCTAGGAAAAATTCAAAATCAAGTCCTACCATAAAAGGAAAATGACCTGGCCAGTATAAAAACTGTAAAGTAAATTCCAAATTGGAATGTGGCTGCAGGAAGTCAAGGTGCCTTATGAAGTTGGAAAAACGGTCACATAAAAACCAGTTGCACGGCAGATTAGCTCTTTAAGCCCTGAGTTTTTTCTACTGTTTCCCGGAGTTTTTCTCTACGGTCACCTAAACCTAGTGCACTATGTCTCATTATAACCCCAAAAACTTGGCCTCCAACTTCTAATTAGCAGAAACAAAGGGTTAGTCATTAGTAAAAAAAAAACTTGGTTCTGGAATAGTTCTGAAAAACAAGCAAAAACTAGCACTAAAGAAAACGAAACAGTGGTCACTAGTATCCGATGGGGATAAAAGAGTTAAAGAACCAGCAGTCGACTACCCCTGAGACTAGCAGGTAAATGCAAAGAAAAAGAAGAAGAAGACGATGCATTGATATAATACACGAATATAATATGCTATTCAGATAGTGCTCAACCCCTATTAAAGAATATAAACTCTGAGCATTTCACAAACATAACAGCAAAACATAAACAATACGTTGTGTTCTGACCAAAAAATCTAGACATATCTCTTTAAAAATCTAAGAACAGAAATGACATGAACGAGTTAAAGGATTTCATCTCTCTTAAATTACCAGGTAGAGCGTTCCAAATCTTGAGGCCATGAAATGCTAACGCTCTTTCATTTCAAATTTTAAAGTTTCATCTTTTATTTGTCACCTACATTTATCGCAAGATTGAGTGGCTGAAGAGACAGGGGAATTACCTGAACAGGACAGGTACAAGAAAGGATTCAAGAAAGATGAGTTTTTGTTTGTTTGGGTTTTTTTAAAATCGAAACCAAGACACATAAACAAGAAAGCTACTGAGGATCAGATGGACAGATAGGGTCACCAATGTGGAAGTGTTAAGGAAAACAAGACAGATCCCAGTCAGATGAGGTAGGAAGAAGGCGGTGGCGATGGATTGGACATACTCTCAGGAAGTCAGGCAGCTGAATAACAAAGAAAGTTTTGGATTGGAACCCACAGGGTAAGAGATCAAGGGGAAGACCTCGTGGAACCTGGAGAAGAATCCCAGAAATCATGTACAGAAAAGTGGGAAGACATGGAATAACATCAAGACGCTAGCCCAGGATAGAGAAAGGTGGAAAGTGTTTTTCCTTGGCCTATACCCTGGTGCAGGAGGACAAAGGCAATGATGATGATGAAGACAAATAAACAGGCTTCATGATTATACCAATAACTTCATATCCCCCAAAATTGACGAACGCAAGACTCTATTGCATCATATGTATCAAGATGTGGTTGAATCAGGCGCTCGCCAATTTTTGGCACGTGGAATTATTGCTATCATCTAAAAATTTATTGATTTGTCTTGTTTTCAATGAAAAAAACTACCCATCTACCTTGAACAGAGGCTGAGATATGTGCCTGGTTTCAGTGGTAAAATTAGAGAGAAAATGGCCGCCAAAGTTCAGTAACTTCAATAGCTTCAAAGTCCTCGAAACCTGAAAAATTACGTATTTTTTGCCTTTGATCAACGTTTTTCAGTCAAATACACAAGGAAATGTATTTTTACATGGTCATAAAAGGTGTTGAAGAAAAAACAAAATTGATAAAAATTGCCAAACTGACAGAAAAACGCCTGTTCCTTCATTTTCATTATTTTGACGAGCGCCCGATTTCACCAGGATGCCTCACATCATATCACAATTTGATCCCCACATACAGGAAAGATCACAATTTGATCCCCACATACAGGAAAGATCACAATTTGATCCCCACATACAGGAAAGATCACAATTTGATCCCCACATACAGGAAAGATCACAATTTGATCCCCACATACAGGAAAGATCACAATTTGATCCCCACATACAGGAAAGATCACAATTTGATCCCCACATACAGGAAAGATCACAATTTGATCCCCACATACAGGAAAGATCACAACCGTACCTTCAACGTCCGCTGAGAGACCGGGCTGTACTTCTCCGCAACGTGAGGTGCAGGGGGGCACGGCCGGCTGTGGTTAGCGTTCAGGAAGTCTCCACTCATGGCCGTCTCGATGCGCCGCCGCCGTTCTGCAAACTCTTCGGGGGTCAGCGGGGTCCCAAACAGGATAAGTCTCCACTTGACCAGCCAGCCACCGCCTGGAGAACATGGTGGAACATGGCAGGAAAGATTATTAGACAAGTTTACATCCCATCGATGTATTACCTGTATTACCTGTCTTGGGCAACAACGTCATTGCACACCGGACAGGTCCATAAGTGCTCAGTTCCCCCCCAGCACCAAAGCCTGCAAGGTATCCATACTGATTGTTCCAGTGGCTGTCTGATTATGGCGACGTCTTTCCTTTCCAGATAATCATTCCTTTCTTCCTTCTCCCCTCTCTATCCCCATTTCCCGCATCCTAATGATTGCGTGGGGTTCTGCTGTCTCCTTGTCTTCTTTATCCCGCAACTTTTTCTCCAGGGTCTTCAACACTTCTCCTTTGTCAAGTTTCACCTCACCATCAACCACGGCACTGCCTGCCAGCCTATCAGCCTCCTCATTGCCTTTCACTCCAGAGTGCCCAGGACAGAATATCCACGTGATGGCTCTAAGTGATGAGTGTTGTATGGGGTTCATCCATTCACTCCGAAGAAGCCCTTTCTCAACCCTTCGCAAGATGCTCTGGGAGTCCGTGACAATGATGAGATGAGTTGTTCTTGGAACTTGTTGTTCGATGAGTTGTTCGATGTGATGGAACTTTAAATATCATTTTACTCTTTTTCTACGGATGGCTATTCCCCATTTCTACACAACCTATTTTTCAATTCTAAAAGAGTATTTACAACCCCCCCCCCCCCAAGAAAAAAAAAAATTTTAAAAAAAATTATTTTTTTTTTAATCGCAACACTCAGCTATATAGACCATAATGGAATGTTTTCCCCCTCAAAACTAAAGGTCACGTAAATGTCCCAGTAAAGATCAAAAGTGTTACTAAAGAGTAACATACATACACAGAAAAGAAGGAGCAGAGAAAAGGACGCTTGATGTTTGATGGGAAAAAAGAAGCAATTATGAGATTTTGGCTCTGAGCTTTTGAACACTACAATTACAATGAAAACAGTCACAGAAAAATTTGTACCGTATTTTCCGTTGTCATGATCTATGAAGACGATTGTCCAGGTGCCAGTCGGTTTCTCTCCCCAGCACCGTACCGTCGTGAACGTCCAGTCGTCAAAACCAGCAGATGAATTGTCCTTGGGCCTAAAAAACAAGAAAAACAAAACAACCCCAAAATAAATGGAAATATAAAAGGCGATGAAACATTGTTAATCCTTTGCATAAAAATTTTTTTACGCACTTGGGACGGAATTAAATTTTGGTCAGTCAGAATGGAGCAGAGGGTCACATACATATTTGTGAGGCAGCGTGGTGGAATCAGGCTCTCGTCAAAATAATCAAAATGCAGAAACTTGCATTTTTCTGCAGGCTTGTGAATTTTTATTACATTTTTGTTTTTTGGGCTCAACACCTTTCATGCCCATTAAAGAACTCATTTCTGTGGACTTTTCGGATAAATGTTGATTAAAGGTACAGAAAATGTAAATTTTCAGTTACCACGGACTCTTAATTAAGCTAAGGGAATAACTAACCTTTGGTGACCATTTTCTCACTAATTTTACCTCTGAAAACAGGTGACCACCACCTCCTTCTTTCACAAATATCTCGACTAGTATTCAAGATAAATGGATACTTTTTTCATCCAAATGAAGACAAGTGAACAAGCTTTAAGATGATACCAATAACTCTACATGCCCAAAAATTGATGAGAGCCTGATTCCACCACACTGCCTCAGATTTTGTTATAATTTCTTGCATGATGAAGCTACTTTAGTGTTTTATATTTCATTAGAAAGGGAAATGAATGTAGAATCAGATTATGCAAACTGCTGGGACAAAATATCAAAAATCAATCAAATTACAATTCAAAACAAATAATATAAACTGGACTGAAAAAAAACAGTCAACTTCAAATTTGAAAATCACCAGGATAGTAAAAATATACCTTACTAAGGAACCGTTTTTGTTGTGTGACATATTCAATTTACATTCAAATCGGAAAGCACATACACTTTTCCAGGTAAAAATAATATTATTTGCCAAGTTATAGTATAGCTGTTTCTGTGCAATCAGCTGAGCTTTGAAACAAGTAAACAGTTACAAACTGTAAAAACGCACGATTGAAAAACATCGCTCTTCTCATTCAAACTATCAACAAACCAGTTGGAGAGACTTTACCCCCTCCCCCTCTCCCCGAAAACTAGTCATACTTTAAATCTACTGGGTAGTTTTGGGTGCTAATTTGGAAGTAAACTATCACTCTCAAGGATCGGTGACATCGGCCACTTGGAAAAACAGGACCAGCTTACTGAACGTTTCCACAAGCCTCTAGGAGACAATGGTGTAAGAGATGGAGCTGCTTCAAAGAAACACAAAACAAAACTCTTTTCTCAAAACTAACACTTTACTAATTTTTTGCTAAAAATTTTGTGCGCGGGTTAGTATTATAGCTATTGTAACTTCAGTTTTTTTAATTTTACAGGAGTAAAACACTGATTTTTCACCACTATATCCATAAACAACACCTGTAATTTCAAGTTGACGTATTTCTTCACAAAATAATCCCAAGACTGAGTTTTTACAGGGCATGTACCCCTCCCCAGTGCTTTGGAATATATTAAAAATTATTTTCACCAAAACCCTGAGTTCCTATAATTTACGATATGCTCTCATTGAAAAAAAAAATGCCTATAAAGTTTGTACCAGAATTCAAAGAGAACAGTTCAATTGGAAAAAACAAACAAAAACGTCGCATTAATAATTAAGACCCAGAGGATTGCAGGTGGTTGGCGTGTGCTCCGGTGTGGTCTGCTCCTTCTTTCCTATCAAACATTTATCGTCCTTATCTTTCTTCTTTCTTTTTTGTGTTTGTTGCTCTCTGGTAACACCTGTAATCTTAGGAACTTAAATGGTCTTATTGTGATGTAAGTGCTGTAAAAATCTTATTAAAACTTAACTTGGCGCTTATAAGACCTTATGCAGTTGCGAGCGTCGAAAAAACCTCTCTTCATCATCATCATCATCATCCAGTGCCAGATCTGCGACAGACATTGGAGATTATGGTTTTCCATTCATTCCTTTGCTCGGATGCTCTCAAAAAAGCTACGTTTCCCTGATCCTTCCCTGTTACCCATTTGTTTAGGTTCCTTAAGTATGTTGTTCTGGGCCTACCTTGGCCTCGCTTGCCCTCAATTTCGCCAGTGTGAGCTAGATGTTCAAGACCCTTATGTCTATTCAGGTGTCCCAAAAACTGCATTTGAAAAACCTCTACTAAAATTAAAACCAACTAAACTAAAGACCGAGACATTGAAGGTTTTTACCTGGGAGTGGCGAGGACGGAGACAGTTCCAGACGGACTGATCAGCTTGACTCCCAGCTTTCCTCGGCACGGATGTGACAGCCACACCGTCAGCTGAGCGTTCTCCAGCGTGAACATGCTCAAACCTCGGATATCGCTCTCCGAGACGACGTGGGATATCCTCAGTGGATTCGATGCGCCCTTTGGAATATCCAACCTCTGCGGCGTCTCGGTGTGTGCGTAGGACGTGGCCCAGGGGACGCTCTCCCACACGCGCGCCGCGTTGACGAGTCGCCAGGCGCTGAGCAGTCCGAAGCCGTGCTTGTGGCTGTGCTCGAGGCCGGCACCATTCTTCTGCCAGTGGGCGATGTCCACGTCGATCTTGTAGGCGGTGAGGATCATGATGTACTGCACGTCACGCCACGACAGGCACGGCCGCGCCTGCAGCATCAGCGCAATCATGGCCGCTGCGAGCGGGGCAGCCGCGCTCGTGCCCGTGTGCCGGCTCGTGCAGCCGTGACCCCCGACCTGCGTCCAGTCCGTGGTCACTATGTCTCTTTTGCTGACCGTGCCGCTGCTGAAGGTCACCCCTAGCATGGAAGCGCACTCCTCCGCATAGTATGGCATCCCCCCTTCCTCGTCGACAGCGCCTATAGTCACGGTGTAGATAGAATTGGCGTACCCATCGAAGTTACAATTGTCCTTGTTGACCCCTCCGTTGCCGCTGGCCACCACGAATATACTGCCGTAGCCGTTGCGACCAAAGTCAATGCCGTGCTTCATGGCTTTGGCCGCCATGATGTGTGGGCCGTCCACCGTGCGGCCGTCGTCGTCGGGGCCCCAGCTGCAGCTGTAGATGTCGTTGATGTCCATCTTGGTGTTGAAAGCCTGCGCCTCCATACTGTCGGTCAGCACACCGTCCAGCACACGCACGCCTGCACGCAGATGACACACAGCACAGGGTCAGGGAAAAGAACACATGACACATGGATAGATAAAATGGTACATGACACATAGTGGGGAAAATAATACAAAACTTCTTCTTCTTCTATCCCGTGGTTGGGGCAACCGTGGGGGCACCACTGCATCTGAAAACCAGCTCTCGCCATCTATTTTTGTCCTCTGCTTTCCTGACATTGTCGCCCATCGTCTTTCCTTTCCACTCTGTAATGTTGTCCTCCCATCTCCTTCTCTGCCTTAATCTGCTAAAGCATGAAGATACAATTTCATCTCAGGTAATTCATATGCAGCATGTAACTTTATCACATCTAGAACATGTACAACATACAACTTTATCTCACTAATACACGAACAACAAACAGCCTTATCTCAACTCACACATATGTACATACAATTTTTATCTCAACAAACAAACAGACCAGACTCCAATAACACAGCTTGTCTTAACATGACAGACATTAAATGATCACTTTTAAGCACAAGGTGGGGGCTATCCCGAAAAATGCTGTTTTGAGAAAATTAAAGGTATAGTTTTTGCCCCTTGTTCAGTTTTTTTAAAAGACAAGGAGAGTTCTCCCTATGACCCAACAAATATATACACACCAATGAAACCAACCTTCTCCTATAGGTAGGGCAATGCCCACTTTTGCTGTAGGTCAAGATTTCTGGAAACCCCTTAAATCTGTGTTAGCCCGCACTTCCTTAAAAGTGAGAAAGTAGAAACTGACTACAAGCATCTTGAAAGCACTCACCAGAAATCCCTGATTCATACGCTACGCCAACTGCACACACGTTGTTGTTGGCGACAGCGGCGATCTCGCCGGCGCACCGTGTTCCGTGATGATTGGACACTTTGGCAGATCGGGGCGTCGGATCTGGGTCATCGTCGTTCAGATCCCAGCTGGCTTTGTAGTTGTAGTTTTGCTGGAGGGTTCCGCAAAACAAAGTGTAATATGTGAAACGTGCTGACAAAATGAGTTCCTTTTTTTATTTGAGCCATATAGAAAGAGATACATCACGCATATATAAGTTTTTAAAAATACATAAATATGAAATAATAACAGGCATACTACACTTAAAGAATATGGCATCAATAGAAAATCTACAAATTTGGTCCTAGTGTTGATTTTTTAGGCCAATATCTCCATTTGTGGATTACGAGAAGTAACTCATTTTGTCAGCTCGCCTCAATATATCTATGTTAGTCTTAGTCAAGGGAAATAATAATAACTTTCTTCTATCTGTCTTTGCTCTTTAACATTAATGAGTGTTGTCCCTTGTCCTGTGTGGAACTATCCTACATTGGAGTAAGAGCGGATTGTTTGGAACCAGCTGAAAGGAAGTACTGAATAAACTACACTTGCTTGCTGGCCATGGAAAAGAATGGTTGTTCGGTGCTTCTATTTCTGAAGTTCAGTACTACTGACTAGATTCTACATAATACTACAAAGATATCACACAAAGATCCTTAACTCTTTATCTCCGAGGTGGGTAAACCTGGGTCATCAAATCAAAACTAGCAAACCTATTTTGATAGTTTTTAAACAAATGAATGAACTTTCGGTAAAAGAGACCTGTTTTCAACAATTGGCGAAAAGTAATTTGATGTCCAAGTCGTCGTAAAGGAATGTGACTGAGACAGTGGCTCACCGGCACAGTGGTTCCGACCGCAAGCCGCTGGGAGTGGCTTGCCCGTGACAAAGGGTTAAACATCTTGTAAAAAGTATTCATATGACCTTAGAGCATGCATCAGAATAACATTGAGTATGTATCTAGCTTAATAAGATTATTATTGTTTATTATTTATTACTATTCATTTTTATTTTATGCATGTGACTGTAAGCCTGCGTGTGCGTGCGTGTATGTTTTTGTGATTGTGTGTATGTGCGTGTGTTTGTGTGCATGTGTGTGTGTGTGTGTGAGTGTGTGTGTAGGTGTGTACGTGGTGAAACACCAAACCAATGTACCAGGATCAGGACAATAAAGACTTTTATCTTATCTTTCTTGACACAGAGCAGTCTAACATGGTTTAAAAACTGTTTCTGTTCTGTTATTCCATTTATATTTCTTCTCTTTCTTTCTCTCTCTCTTTGTGTTGCATTCCTTTTTTTTTCCCCTCCCACTGCAAACATAGAATACCGTTGAATTTGTTGAAGACGGCAACCCATCATCCAGAAGAAAAGTGGTCGTTATAGAAAGGTGGTTCTTGTTTGTTTTAGTAGAGGTTTTACGGCGCTCACAACTGCATAAAGTCCTATGAGTGCGCACAAGATTAGAGGTGTTACAAGAGAGTATCAAACATAAAAAAGAAGGAGGGGAGACAAGGACGATAGATGTTTGATAGGAAAGAAGAAGTGAACCACACCAGAGCACCTACTAACAACCCACAAAGGTGGTTCTATTGGACAGAGTCATTACAATATCTATAGAATAAACCCCCCTCTTCTCTCGTGGCCAAGAGGTTAATGTGTTCGCCTCTCATTCAAAGGTCTCTAGTTCGAATCCGGGTAGTAACCGGAAAAAATTTTCTTCTCTAAAATTATTGTCTCCTTTCACCTCCTTTCCTGCTCTCTCGCAATGTTCTGTCGTCTGACTTCATCTCCGCTTTCTGCCTCCACCACCCCGTCACCTCCTTTGCCCCCTCCTCTGGGCTCCTGACTCTTTCTGCAGGCTTTCTACTGCTACTCCTTGGCTCCTTCTTAAGTTACTGCTGTCTTTCAGCCACACCCCAGATCTTCTGGTAGGAAAGATCTACACCTAACCTTCTCAGACAAGGGCGAAAAATCTCGGAGGTCCCGTGTACAAGTTGCACACGTTACAGATCCCTTGGTGGTCCAAAATCGAAAGGTAGGCTTTAGCTGTCACCTGGGCTAAATTCAAAATTCCCTACCAACTAAAAATGTTTAGTGTGTCCCGCGCGCTCATATGACCTTATGCAGTTGCGAGCGCCATAAAGCACATACCAAAAAAAAACAACAGCAAAAAACAAATATCTATAGAATAAACTCAAGGTGGGAAGTGGTGTATTTTCCTTTTTCTCATTCTCTTCTCTTACTGCAAAACATATGACATTGTTTATAAAGTCTAGCAAGCACATTGGGAAATAAGCAGGACCTTTGATATGACTAAATAAAGTCGAAATAAGCGGGACCTTTGATGGGACATTGTAAATAAAGTCTAGCATGCATGCTACGAAATAAGCGGGACCTTTGATTGGACATTGTAAATAAAGTCGAGCATGCACGCTACGAAATAAGCAGGACCTTTGATTGGACATTGTAAATAAAGTCTAGCATGCATGCTATGAAATAAGCAGGACCTTTGATAGGACATTGTAAATAAAGTCTAGCATACATGTAGCAAAATAAGCGGGACCAATCATCAATCTCCTTTCCAAAAGACCCCCCAAAAAATTGATATTTTAAAAAATTATTTTAAAAAAAATCGTTCTCACCTTAAGGTCGGGATTCCTCCACTCAATCCCATCATCCACCACAGCGACCGTGACCCCGCGACCTGTGAAGCCGTGATCCCACACGCCCGTCACATTGATGTCCATGCCGGGCTGACGGATGTTGTGCAGGTGCCACTGTTGAGGATACGCCGGATCGTTGAAAGACAGCGGTCGACCAGAACTCCTTTTCACCCTCTCGTGGCCCGATTTCTGATCGGTTAAGGCTTCGCTCATCATCATCTCTTTACCCCTCCCCGCATTCCTCGTCTCTAAACCCCGCCCTACAATCCTTATCTCTTTACCCCTCCCCACAATCCTCATCTCCTTCACAAGCCTGTCCTTCCACTCTTGTTTTTTGTGCGCACGTAACGGCAAATTATGGGAATCATCACCACGTTCAGATCTCCAAGGGTCGGAGGTTATGGCACTACTTGTTGCATTTATGGCTGGGGGGAATTTAGAACCGTCGTTTACAACTTCTGAAGACTCAGGCTCAAATGTTTCGAAGTCTTTAAAACTTTTCCATTTGTGTTTGCTTTTCCTTGCAGCGTATGTGCTTTGCGGCATTTTCCGCAAAAATCTATTAGGTGTTAAAAACTTTAGCACAGTGGTGTTGTTTACACTAGATAAACCATCAACCACAGGCTCTTCATTCAGACTAAATCTGTCTTTGTTATGTACAAACAAGTCATCATCGCCTCTATTTGCAGAATGGAATGTAGGTGGCGCTACAGTCACTGCACCTCCTGGTCGAGAAACTCTCAAATGTGCGGACTCGCCACTAAACCACACAACCTCTTCGTGTTCCATCAGCTGTTGCTCCACTCCGGAACGAGTGACGTGAAAAGATTGCGCATCTTTTAGCCTCATACGAGAATGTTGTTGCTGAATGAGATGCAGAGAGCGGGAGGGCGAATGTGGAGAGTTCTCGATGTTTTCTACGAATGTAGGAATTTCTTCAGTCTTACACGCAGCCAGCATCTCCGTGGATAGTGAGTGGCACATAAGAAAGTGGTCAGGAAAATGCTTGAAAGAATGAATGACCACAAGACGCATCTCAGTAGCCAGAGCTGTGGAAATAAAAAAGATGGGGGGAAAAACGAAAGGAAACAATTTTACAGCCAGTAAGAGTTCATCTCACTCAATTTTTTTTAAAATGTAGGTGTATCTTAATGCCCCTCCAAAAAAATTAATTTTGATCACTTAAGGAGCTGGCTTCAAACCAGCCTTTTAGGGCCAACATGCATTGAGAGGAATAATAAAGCAGAGACACTCCATAAAAATTCTCCCCGCAAGGGAATTGAACTAGACTCCTTTGTGTGTGATGGCAAAGTGCCTTATCGCTACACCACAGACCTGCCTTCGGGCATTGAATGTCTTTGATCATTACAGACCCTTGAGGCTTACAAATAATTATCTGTTAATGGAAGATAACTGTCATTTCACTCCCAGCTTACCTGAAGCCTGACTCGGCCCGGTGACAGAAATATGCAATGTTTGACCCATGATAAGAGATATGTGCACAACCTGTACTTATTCATTATATGGAAACTTTATTTATCAAATGAGAGTTTTATGTGATGTGATGTGGGCCAAACGCCTTAAACACTGAATAAACTTACTTACTTACTTACTCTTACTTACTTACTCTTACTTACTTACCTGAAGCATGCTGGTACCAAGTTTTTGTACAAACATCACCATATTTGCATGCAGAACAGACTTTCACATCATTCTCATCTCTTGCCACATGTTCGTCTTCCCCTCCACTGTTCGTAGCATCCCCCCAGAATTTGGTTGCCTGGGGGGCACAGGAGGTACGTATCTGAACCACCCAGCATAGCAGCGGTTGTTGCTGATCCAGATTTCTGGTTCGGTTCTTTGTCGACTCGAGGTCCCTCAGAGGAAAAGACCAGTTGACAGGTAGAACCAGAAGGAAGAGGAATAAAAAGAGCGCCACACTGGACCACTTGGCGATGGATGTCATTGTGTTGATCTCCGGCGAGGATCATGATTACAGGCCCTGACAGGTACAGAGAAAGAGAAACGTGAGCACATGGAAAAAGCATACACCAGTCTGTCCCAAATACTTTCATAACAACGGAATTTCTAGCTTTCAGGGTTACAACCCATTACCACACACACCTCTTTTCAAAACAGCAGGGTTGGGTTGATTTAAATCAGTTGATTTTTTAAATTTAAATCAACTTGATTTTTAAAATAAAAATCAGTGATTTAAATCACTTTTTAAAAAATTTTTTTTTATTCAGTTTTTACATATTTCAACATTCAGAATTCCTTTCCTTGGTTTCATAAAACAGATATACAGTTTAGTAGACTAATAAACTAGTCAACAAAAATTAAGCAATTCCCAAAAAGGAAAATTAAGTTATTCCATTTTAACTTGCTTGAAAAGTTAATTGAGTTTGGTAGGGGTTAAAATCACAAATCCCAAAAATTGTCAAGCGGTTTCGAAGTTATTTTAACTTCTGACTGCAACAAAAACAAAACAGTTCAGATGATTTCAATAATGAGTATGCCCACTGCAATTGTCCTGGCACTCAATACACCGGCTCCTCATCGAGTTCATGAGGTTGGTGAATACTCTCTGAGGCATCCCCTGCCACTCTGCCTACAGCATCTGAAACAGTTGCTGCGTGTTTCCTGGAGGGGTGTGGTTGTCTCTGACTCGACGTTGCAGCTCATCCCAGAGGTTTTCTTTGGGATTCAAGTCCGGACTGCAGGCCGGCCAGTCCATTCGGTTGATGCCAGCCTGCTGCATGAAGTTTTGGACAAGCAACGCTCTATGAGATCGGGCGTTGTCATCCTGGTACACTGCATGTGGCCCCATCTGCTGCAGAGTAGGTAGTGCTAATGGACGGAGTATCTTACCTCGGTAACGTATTGCAGTGAGATTCCCTTGCACTTGGTACAGAGGGGTTCTGTGGTTCAGACTGAAAGCACCCCATACCATCACGGAACCACCTCCAAAAGTCATCACTTCTCTGACGGCTTCATCGAGGAGCCGCTCTCCGGGTCGCCTCCAAACCCTGATACGACCGTCATTGTGATGCAAAGAGAACCGGGACTCGTCGCTGAAGAGAACGTTTGCCCACTGTTGACGTGTCCATCTTACTTGGCGTCGCCAAAAGGCAAGACGAGCAGCCCTGTGTGCTGGGTTGAGACGCTGGCGGACTGCTGGTCGACGTGCATTAAGTCCAAACTCATGAAGAAGTCTTCGTACTGTCTGACAACTAATGTTAACACGAGTTGCCGCTTTCAGCCGTGTCCGGATGCGATTTTCTGGAGCGGATCTCGACTGCGGAGCCTGTTTATGAGTGAATCGGTCTTCCCTTGCATTAGTGGCTCTTGGTCGACCTGATCTGGGTCGCTCTTGGGCACTACCAGTGGCGTTGGCACGCTGAATCAGCCGTGAAATGACAGAAACGGACACTCGAAGACGTGTAGCAACTTGTCAGAGAGAAACACCATCTTGTACCTAAGCAATGGCTCGTCCTCTGTTTACATCAGACAATTTCTGTCGAGGAGGCATGTTTATGCTTAGCCCCACAGCAGCAGAATGGTGTATCCACAGTGCAAATGAGCGAGTGCAAGTCACTCACGAGACATGAATCTTGCAATTGAAAACTGATTTTTGAGCGTTCATAATTTTTTCTGACGGTAAGAGCTAGAGAATAAAAATCGATAATTGGAAAACATTGGACCTTTTTGCCCCCTCCCCAGCTCATCGCACAGGCCTCACGTGCATTTCAAACCTTGGTGTGTACAAGCCCATTAGTCATAGAGTAACATTTCACCAATATCTAGTTTTTCGAGTAAAAGTAAAACCTCGAAAGAATACATACAAATATATCACTCTTTTTACAGTACGTTCCTTAACTTTTGTTGACTAGTTTATATTCATGCTTAAAAGTCTGCTTTCCCTCATTTCACTGTAAAATAATACAGTATTCAATTTACTTTTTTTTCCATATAATTGAAATCAGAGCTGGGTTGATTTAAATCAGTTAATTTTTTTAATATTTTAATCAACTTGATTTTTAAAATAAAAATCAGTGATTTAAACCACTTTTTAAAAAATGTATTCAGTTTTTACAAATTTGAACATTCAGAATTCCTTTCCTTGGTTTTATAAAACAGATATAAGGTTTAGTAGACTAATATAATCATGCTTAAAAGTCTGCTTTCCCCCTGTCACTGTAAAATAATACAGTATTCAATTTACTTTTTTTTATCATTATTGAAATTAACATTTTCTTTTTCTTTTTAGACAAACACAAGCGCGCGCACACACACACACACTGTAATAAAATGCAAGTTTATCTATGCATAATTACCCCCCCCCCCCCCCTTCCTTTTAGACTGACATTTTCTTCATTTTTTGTCTGTAGCCATAATTCACTGATATATATATATATATATATATATATATATATATATATATATATATATATATATATATATATATATAAATATAGCAGATTAAGGCTTTCTTTTGCGGTTGCTTAAATTAATCATAAGTTAAAATAAAGACAATGCCTTTTGCACTAAAAGAACATACTTTTAGCAACCAAAAATCCCAAAATGTGTCGACATTTTTAAAAAAATAAAAAAAATAAAAAAAATCCGATTTAAATCGATTTTTTTAATTTTCATTTTAAAAAATCAAAAAAATCACCAACCCTGCAAAACAGTACTCTAAGCCTTTTCAAAAAAATATAATGTATGTAAAAAAAACTTTATGATGCTTAGAGAAAAAATTAAACTTTACTGAAGTCAGACAATAGTGAAAGTCTACCACTGCAGCAGAAAAGGCAAGAGCACTTGGCTGTGAATGCTCTGACTGTTTTCACTGTTGCTTTAATGATATTGAGAAAAAAATTGCAAATTCATTATGGTTGCAACTTTTAATGTGTAGATCTAGACCTAGATCTAGATAAAGGTAAGATTCAAGAATGGCTGTAGTTATTCGCACAGGGTGTGTGAATACTATGAAATTTTATTCGCACAGGGTGTGTGAATACTATGAAATTTTATTCGCACAGGGTGTGCGATTACTATAAAGTTATATTCGCACAGGGTGTTTCAAAAGAAGGATGGAAATCGGGCCTACCATTTCCTCATTTTTTCCCCTCATCACTTAAGGACAAAGATCTTAGGGGCTGGATCTAGACGGTCATATATAATTACCTAGGGCTGGATTCAACCAGAGAGTTGATTGAACTTTGGTGGACCCACCGTGTTTATATGTATTAATGCGCACTAGGCAAACAACGGACTTATACTATTCATGGGTCCTAATCGACCGCTACGTGAACTAGTTTCCGGCAACGCGAGGCGGAGTGAGTGAGTGAGACTTGTTCCCAGCGACGCGAGGCGGAGTGAGTGAGGGCTGTGAGTAGTACTAGCTGCGAGAATACTATGAGAGAGAGAGATAGAGAGAGAGAAGGGGGGACGAGACAAAGTTGTAAAAATGAAACTGCATTTTATTATCCGAATCACTGAAGAGATCGAAGTCCGGAATATCTAGGCGTCGGATGTGGATGTTTACCGCAGGAACAGGCGCAGGGTTCTCACTATTATATTAGTATTACTTGATCCCAGCCTCTGTTTCTTTTTAGGGGGGAGGCAGTGGAGGGAGACCAGAAGAGGATGATTGACCAGCAGGTTCCTGATTTTCTTGATTACATGTCGTAGGCTTATTTTTGCTCTTTTTCTTTTGAGGGGGAGGCAGCGGAGGGAGACCAGAAGTGGAGGTTCCTGGTTTTCTGAATTAGTCGTAGTACGGTAATTTTTGGTGGACCGCACCTTCTAAGTTATTGGGATACTTATAGATCTGTATTCGACAGTGGGGGGGGGGGGGGGGGGGGAGGGGGGAGTGCTTGCACTGGAACCGGATCGACTGGTAAACGTATACAGCACTCAAGGGGTCTGTTTGGCCAATTTTGGTGGATCGTGTCACCACAAAATTTTGTGTTATTAGTACTTTCATACTCTTTCAGAGCCTCTGTGAACTCTGAAAAGCTCTTGAACTTGGCTCCCACTTCCATGCTGAATAGATCTAGAAAAACTAGAACTAGATCTAGGTGTTGAGTAATTTCAGATTTGCGATGCAATAGCCTTGGGGCCAACAGAACGCAAGGTCCCTCAGGGCTCTGTTTTGAAAAATGAAAATGCCACGCAGGTAAGCTTATTATATATAGGCCAACACCCGGTGCGAATAACCACTTCCTTGAAGAATACCGGACCAGCGGACTGACGTTGCCTACGTCTCAATCTTAAGAATTCATGATTTTCCCCAGTTTTTAATATTCTCTCAATGGAGAATCACGGACTGGTAGATATATAATTCATTAAATATTTGTCAGGGAGGAGACCCCCTTGACCCCCCCCCCCCCCACCCCCCACCCCCCTCTTCTACCCTAACCACCCGTCCTACCCACCCCACATTCTCGCGCAATAATGTATACGAGTGGTCCGGTATTCTTCAATCTTCCCTCTAGATATCTAGATCTAGATCTAGTAAAAGAAAACTTTCTTCAAATCAAGCTATTATATCTAGATATCTAGATCTAGTGGTAACAGGACGTGTAAAGGCAGAGAGTGGGAAGTGGGTGAACAAGGTCTGTCTATTGAATGATAGATCTAGAAATCTAGATCTAGAAACTAGACGTTGAGAACCCGAAAGTAAATCTTCGCCTTGCATTTTTATGGGTATTTGTGTTTAATTTACCTCACTCTGTACAATCACATAGACTACACCGGGTATTTGCATCACAGACATTGTGGCTAGCCTGCCTTACTGTCTTCACAAACGAAGACGTCAAAACAAGACAGCAGTGTCTTCCTTCCTCGCAGTAGATATAAAGATAAACAAACGATAGGGGTGGTTTCCCTTGGGGATATCAGTCCGTTCATAAGTTTGTTTGATGTGTTTTTCTGTCAACCTAGAAATGATTTGAATCGACTAAAAATACCTAGATCTAGATCTAGATTAGATCTAAGTAATATTTTGCTTTAATGTTCAACAAAAAAAAACAACTATTAAAAAATATTTTTTGACTGTAGAAAATGAAGAACATAACAGAATCATATTGTTTAAGATTTCAAACCTTAATTCTGTTATAGTTTTGTTCGTGGACAATTGTTGTAAGTTCACTCACACAAAGTATAAATACGAAATCAGAGATCGCAGTTGTCGAAAAATCTCGGATGTCCCGAATGCAAGTTGCGCATGTTAAAGATCCCTCGGTGGTCATAAAATCGATGAAAGTATGCTTCAGCTGCCATTCGGGCAAAATTCAAAATTAATTCCTATTAAACTGAACATGCTTATGTGTTCCGCGTTTTCATATGATCTCATGCAGTTGCGAGTACCGTAAAACACTTTTTAAAAACAAAACAAACAAATAAACAAAATTGTTTTTTCTTTTTCTTCTTTTTCTTACAACTAAAAACGACAGATGACATCTTACAGAATAAAAGAAATATCTGATTTCTTATTGGTAGGCCTAATGCCGAGATACAATAATTTTATTTCAGTACCACTGGTCATAATTTATGTAGAGATAGAACAAATATTCCAATACCACTGGTCATAATATGTGAAGATAGAGCAAATATTCCAGTGCCACTGGTCATAATATATGGAGGTAGAACAAATATTATTCCAATACTACTTATTACTACTGGTCATATTAACTTGTGAAGATAGAACAATAAATTCCAATTCCACTGTTAAGGCATGTAAGGAGTGAGAGAAAGAAAGAGAGAGAGAGAGAGAGAGAGAGAGAGAGAGAGAGAGAGAGAGAGAGAGAGAGAGAGAGAGAGAGAGAGAGAGAGAGAGAGAGAGATGGGGGGGGGGGGGGTCTAGAGTGTTGCAATAATTTTGGTTGTATATGTGCATTTTGTATTTTGTGTCACACAACGAGTAAAGTGAAGGGACATTGCATGTTTTGTCCAATGCTGGACCAATAAAGTATGGATTATTGTATGATATCTCATAACCTCATACTTGTACTAATAGTGCTAGGGATGTTTTGCATTATTGTTTAAGATCTAAAATTAGTTCAGTGTTGTTTGATGAACTTCTTACGTGCTTTGAGATATTAGTAGTTGTAGTGTTGAAAAGTGTAGTTCTGGTGAAGCTTGCAGTATACATGGGTTATTGTTGGTGCATGCGTTCATTTATAAACATAGTTAGCTAACCGTTAGCAGGCTTATTCGTATGAAAATGCCAGAGCTAACAAGCACACTTTTCCAAAGAAATACAAAGCGTAGAGATTGGATCACCAGTAACTACAGTGATGATACATTATTAAGATAAGATAAGATAAGATACATCTTTATTGTCCAGATCCTGGCACATTGGTTTGGTGTTCCACCACGAGTACACACACACACACACACACACACACACACACACACACACACACACACACAAACACACACACGTGCACACACATGCACACACAAGTAGGCTTACAATCACATGCATAATATAAATGAGCAGCAATATAAACAATAATAATCGTAAGCTAGATACACACTCAATGTTATTTTGATGCATGCTCTAAGGTCGTAAGTACACTAAACAAGATGGTTAAGATGGAAGCATTTTGATAGATGATGATAAAAATGACCTTCTGTATCTTTCTTTGTTACAGATCAGAAGCATGGGTCTTTTACTTCTGACTGATGTTTATATTTGAGGGAACAAGGGATGTTTGTTGTCTAAAAAGATGGATTAATTTTCTTAGTGCAAGCTGTTATGTACAATTCATCCAAGTAGGGGAATGAAGATGTTGAAATTTTACATGCTTTCCGTATTAGTCGATTTAATTTTTCTTTATCTTGTTGTCTTGTGTTCCCGGCCCATGCTGTTATACAAAAATTGATCATACTTTCTATGGTTGAATGGTAGAACATGGACATCAATGTTTTATCAACTTTAAAACACTTTAGCTTTCTTAGAAAAAATAGTCTTTTGTTCACTTTTTTATTGTTGTAAGAACAACCGATCCAATGCACTGTACCCGAAAACGAATACCTTTATAATGAGCGCACGTTCGCCGACATCAGACTCTCGGAAAAAATAAGACATCCTTGGATATTTACTCATCCATTTCAACAAATTGTAATTACCTCGCGCGCATCAAACAGACATTCAAAGCACCTCGAATCTTGCGTGACAGTTTGTCTTGCGAGTAGGTCAGAACTATGAGTCTGTGCAGTTTTCACAATCTACAAACGACTCTTGTCTAAGCATCCCACGATTGGTCCACTGGGGAGAGGAGGGAAAGGGCAAAGCTTGTGCGTACTGTAGATCATTCTTAGCAATAGCCTGTACAATATGACATGTCAGAAACACTGTGTCACTTTAGGGTACCCAATAAGAGGCTTTTTTTTCACACATGCACCAAATCCAGTGATCCAGGAGCGTTCAATGCCTGATTCTGTTCCATTGTTGTACGAATGGGTAAGAGAAAATGCGCAGAAAAACAGCAGGGGCTGTTTGAAAAAAAAATGAACATGCATTTTCATGTACTCTTACTGGCTTTCCCTACGACTAGTTCTGATTCAGGTTTGTTTGTTTTTTCCTCCAAATTTTGATGCCATCTATAGAGTACTATAGAGTACTATAGAGTACTCCGTGTGCCAATAAGCTAAGCCTAGCCAAATATTGCTCTATAGTACAGGAGGAGCGTTTTGACGATGGAGAGAAAAAGAGGGGAAAGCGGAAGGGGGTTCTTGATATCTCTCCATCCTTCTCTCTTTCTGCTTTCCACCTTCTCCTCATCCCCTGCACCCCATCCTCTCTATTTATCCCCCCCTCTCTCTCTCTCTCTCTCTCTCTCTCCCTCTCTCTCTCTCTCTCTTCCCCCCCCCCCTCTCTCTCTCTCTCTCTCTCTCTCTCTCTCTCTTCCCCAGGCCTATTATCGCAAGATTCCAATATTCGGAGGACAAATTCCTTGTTTTGGGTGCCAGAGAGGAACTAAAGGAGCAGGGGGTGAGTGTCGCCGGTAATCTTACAGCGCGGCAAAGAGAAGAATTTAGAGACCTGAGAGCAAAGGGAAAACGTGGGGTTTTTTTTTAAATGGAAGACTTCACGTGGAAGACGTCACCCATAGACAAACACTACGCAGTCACCACCACAGGACAACAGCCAGCCGAGCCGACCCGAGCCCTGTGAGCAACGACAACAGCAGAGGATCACCCGCAGTCAGTCGGGGAGCGGTGGTGAGGCAACGGGGGTGGTTGTGTCAACGGGACGGTGGTGTGGCCACAAGGAGACAGCATGGTCAGTCTTTGGCTTCAACAACAGCAAGAGAATAGGAACACGGCCAGCCCAGACTTGCGACAACAATAGATAACGCCCAAGCAATGTTTTTTAAAATTACGTGTTGGAATGTTCATGGCAAATCGCAAAAATTAACCTTGATTTTGTCCACTTTTGTTCGTCGTATGACATTTTTGCTTGCTCTGAGGTCTACTCATGTAGTGAAGAAAAATAGCTCCTCGCCTTACCACAGTACAATATTTACTCTGCAAAACGTGAGCACGGGTTAGGTGGGGGTGTTGCTGTTTTTGTTCGTCGGTTGTTAGGTACCCAAGTCACAAAGCTAGAAATTTCTATGAAAGAATGTGTTTGTTTACTGTTGAAGGAGACCTGTTTACAAACAGATCGTAAAGTTGTCCTTTGCTTCCCCTACCTCCCGCATGAATTTTCGCCTGTGTTTAACAATGAAAAGGTTAAAGGTATAGTCTCTTGTGAAGACATATCATGATATTAGCGATAAGTTAGGAGAAGTTGAGTGGATCATCGGAGGGGATATGAATCCTTGGACAAGACGTCTAGATCATAGCTTTGTTGAAAATAACGTACATGAACTTTTGTCTGGTTTTGAAGAAACGGATGATGTTTTAGAAGAAATTTGTACCCAAAGAAAGTCACAGGACGCTTCCTTTACAAATAGTTATGGAAAACAATTAGTTAGTTTCTGTAAAGAAAATTCATTGTACATTGCGAATGGCAGGACACTGGGAGATGAGGAATGGAATGTCACATGCATTGCTAATAAGGGAAAAACAATTGTTGATTATGTTATTGTGAGCAAGAGAATGTTTGAGAAGATCTTTA